AGAACAACTATACAAATTATCGCACATACATGTTACGTTCACATTCTCAGTGTTTAATCATCGTTTTTGAAGTGAAAATTATTTAGCCAGGGTAGTTTCCCGCTACTTGGGAAATTTAAATGAAACGAAAAGGTTAAACACCAGGCAATAGCTTTTTTAGATTGACGATAGACATGGACAAGTAATACCATATTCTCATTTGTAACTTTGTACATTTCATATTCAGTGATTATAAATAATTTCTGTCCTTTCGTTATAATGTTATATATTTATTTTGCATATATTTTGTAACAAATTTCGGATAAAAGGAGTAATTTCAGTTCATGATTATGAATGATTGCTCTCGTACACCAGATTTAAAGGATTTGAAAAATTTGAAAATATGTTATAGAGTAACTTAATGAAGTCTTCGTAATAACTACAGTCTTAATCCTGTATTTATTCGATCGTGTTATTAATTGCATTCCTACACCCTAATCAGCAGAAGTTTCATTTCCGACACGCATGACGGCCACTCACCAGTTTTTTATTCTTCGCGGAGAATAGGTTAGATAATGTCTAAACATACACAAAATGGTCTATTAAAAAGCGACATTTATCTATAACAAATCGTGTCGTCACTTCAAGATTCATGTGTACACACATAATGACGTCAATTACCATTTATTGAAACAAGTACGGAATCTGTTGACGGACATGAATTCTTTATTTGGCTTTTCAAGGTAACCGCAGACGATCTAGTTGAATTTCATCAGACAAGTACAAACCTCGAAGACAAAATTTGATCAGATTCTAGGAGATTTATAGAAACCTATTTCTCCCTGACCTTTTCGCGGTCTTCTATCTTTAACATCGGAAAGAGAATTGCGAAATCTGTAATTCCATATTTCACGAACGGCAGAGAGTTATAACCTCAAACATATTCATACGCCTTTCACGATGTGTACTTCTTGTTCAATTGTACGTTTTAGTATGCGCCGCTCCATCATTTCTCGAGTTTCGAATTCTGGAAACCGCCCCTCGAAATCGAGACGAAGGAACGAGTAGTTCTCTTAGATGCTCAACTGTCCTCGGTCAAAATTGCCATAACGCTTGTTATGACTATTGTGCGGTTTCTGGGTTATGGCGGAAATATTGAGGGGATATGCCGCGATGTATACGCGAACTGTTTGGAGATCTATCACAATGCAACGTTTCTCTTTAGAGCAGTTCCCTAGTTTCCCCCGATATCCTTTGCTTCAGAAGGAAACTGTAACATCTCCTGATTATCCTTAAAAGTGTCCTTCGTTATCAACAGAAACGTTTCCAGCATAATTTTAATTTCCTCAAACTCAGTATAACGTGTTAATAGAAACTTAATTAGAAAATAAATAAACTGGATCCCGCTAAAACGTACATTTGTTTAAAAATATACATAATGTCAGGACCAACAGAGTTCTTGATTTTTTTTCTAGATTCTTGTAAATCTTTTTTTCCTACATTATTTTATTTTTCTTACCTAACATCCCTTTCGAATGTATACTCTTAGAAAAGAAACTTCAAATGTTTTTTGAAACTAGCAACAGGATCCAAAGATAACTAGCACGGACATTTAAACAGGAAAGTAAGATCAAGAGGTCTTGATTTGATCCCTCGAAGATGGTCGAGAATTTTTGAATTGTCGAAACAGTGTCATGTTTTTAAAGCCGAACGTCATTTGTTCCTGAATTACATTTCTTCATCGAAATATATTTGTCATTAAACCCTCCGAGATTTTCGGTTCAATATTTAGCATATTTCTCATTTTATTTCTCTTCTACGCTTCGTTCTCAATATTGCACTTTGATAACAATACTCATAGGGATGCTGGGAGCAACAACGGAATCCCAAAGTAACTATCAAGGACATTTAAACAGAAGGGAAGTGGGGTCGAGAGTTTCTGGTAAGGTTCCTCTTAGCAAGATGGTTCTTTTGAAGGAACGCTCCTTCGAACGAAGCGAACGATCGATCTCCGTTGCTACCCGGTCGTTATAATTCGATGGCCATTATCGTGACGTTCAAAGTTATCGACCCAGGCCGAGAAGGCAGAGGAGATAAAAAAGCGAGCAAAGGAAACGGCGCAGGAGACAGAACGGGCCGACGGGAAAGCGAAAGAGCGGAACTTCATTTCCCGTCTGCGCGACGCAATGAATTTTCTGGCCAAGTTGTTGAAATGAACGGACGAATCGCCGAGCGAAGAAACTTATCCTCGATTTGGTCCTAAAATCTCAGACGATAGAAATCCGACATCCCACCGACGATCGTTTTAACTTTTAGCGTTATTTTCAATTTTTTTTTGTTTAAATAGTTTATTTAACTTTGCCAAATAGAGAGACATGAAAATAATATCAAGAATTTTTTATTACTTTCTATTCGGCTTTGATCATTTCTATCGGTATGTACCTGCTGCACTTGGCTGCATTATATATCGGAGAAGAGAGTAATCGACCCACTTTTTCTTAGTCTCTGATTAATTATGACCTCGCAAAGAAGCTCCTATTTCTTCGCTGTAGGTTTATCTGTCGGATATAAATTTACCTCGAACGTATTCGAAAGTCAAGAACTGAGGAGCGATGAAACAATTCTTAACATTCAGAACTCCTGATTTTCTCTATTTCCCTAAGATGTATTTTCTTTCAAAAGCTATTCCCGATTTTAGAAAATACTGATTGAAGTAAAGTAAAATCAATCATCGATGATATGTAATTGGTATCGATTTAGGGTTAGCTTTGTGGTTCTTTGTCCGTTTTCTTGTACAAGGAAGCTCGCCGGCTGAAGTCCTGCAAGGGTTGCCAAGAATCCTCGCCATTAGAGGATTTCAAAGGATAAGGCAGGTCTTGGAAATCCGTAAAAGAGAGGTAGAGAGAAAAGTAGAGGATAATATTATCGCAGAGTACTTTTGCTCCCCTCCTCCTCTGCAGAGCGAGTTTCGACGTCTGGCCCTCTTTGTCCCTCCCACGTGGGACGTTCTGCATCCGAGTTCTCGGCCTGACCGGCGAAACTCGGCTAAAAGGGGGACGTTAAGTCAAAATGAGGGAAAAATAAAAGACGAGCGAAAATCGAGCACTCGGAAGCTCTTCGCTGCTTAAATCGAACCCAGAGGAATCGTAATTGGAAAGGTTCGTGTACTTATTTCACGTCCAATGCCTAGAACTTGACTTTGCACTGACATCAACCAGAGGGCCGTTTTACATCCACCCGTTGATCTAAACTTAATCATTTAAATTCAGAAACTGTTCCTATCGTTCCCCAAAATATTAGATTATTCCTATTTTCAAATCGTGGAATTTCTCTCCCTTCTTCCCTGGACACCTAAGGCGACTTGTCTCTTAAAAAATTATTCAGGAATATTTCTATGTACCAATCGGTTTTGTTCATAGCTTAAAAAACGCAGAAACGTCCGAACGTCCAATATCGATGACCTGGTTAAAATTCACATTACTCATTAAAGAGGTTCAGAGAACGACATTCATTGTCCAGTTTGAGGCGCCAGGCTATAAACATCGCAGATAATGACTAGGTCAGGGTTCGCGCCTGTATATATGGCACGAGAGTCTACCGAGTTTCTTAAACATTATTTGCTCCTTTTTAACTGAAGATACAGCAGCTTCGCATCTTCTCGCGCGCGTTCTTTTTCAACCAGTTTTGGCCTTCGCTACGAAAGGGGTGGATTTGAAAAATGTCTACAAATTTTCAAAATTTAAAGGTCCCGGCTCATCGACGATGCTTTTCTACGGCTTTTAAAATGACCCTTGCGGGGAAATAAATTGGTGCTCGCGTGTTTACCCACTGGCAAAATTAAAATTCCTGAAGTCTGGGAAAGCAGTCGACAATGGTCGACAATGGCCGGAAGAGTCTAAAGAATGCGCGACAAGGGGACCGAAACGTACCGGGAAAGGGGGGCGAGAAAATGCGAGAGAGACAGCCGCCCGAAGGTGAGTTGTGTTTAATTAATGACCGGACTAATTAAAAGCCCAAAGAAAAATACACCTCGCCGGTGGCCGCGGAATAAGAGTGCTTTTTAAACCACTCGTTCGGTGTTAATTCATAAAAGCCGGTCGCGGGGGTGGTTAACAGCTTTAACCCTTTTGGTCCGGTTACCCGCGCCATTGCCCCACCCCGAAGACACTCGAGGGAGTCGATTGTTCCCGTGGTCGGAGTAATCGGTCGAAATACGCGCCCTTTCTTGTGCATCCGTAAATACGCATTAAAATGTCGATATTACATTTACTTCATTTTATCAAGAAATAATTAAAATGATATAAAAGGGTCATTCTTTGTATATGTAACAAAATTCGATATAAATAAAATATGAGATAAAAGAAGAAATATGAAAAAATATGAAAATCAGATCACGAAGTGTGCACTTATAGTAACTCGTGATGAGGAAGTTGAACCTTTAATGTTTTTCTTTTTTAAGAAATAGTCATTTCGTTCCTCACGAGTAACCTCATTCATCAGAATTTTTGAGAAAAGCACGCTTATGAAGTAAACCCATGAAAAGTATCGGTCGATACTTCGCTTACCATTCATTACGGTGGTATTGAAAATCCACTCATTACTACCTTTTTATTTCAACGAGACCTACTAAAGAGCGCAAACCGTGTGCAAAAGTCGGCAGTTCTTTCGTTTCGACGTATTTCCTACCCTCTCGCGACAAGGCTTTGAATGTCGTGATCAAAAGTGATTTTTCCCGGATAGAAAGCGCGAGTATTGTAAAGGTACTCGAACTTCGTGACTTCGATCTGGCTTGTCAATAGTAAATATGCCCGTTCTATTTACGCATGAATCGTACACGGACAAACACGCATTCGCCCCGATCAACAGATGCATTTATGCATCACCATGTCACACATGGCTGCACCATTGCGTGCCGATGGAACATCGTTTATTCAGCCTGCTATGTATCCAGATAAGAAAACAATTACTTACGGGATAATTCGTTAACAAATATTTGCCCAATGAAGTTTTAGAAAGCCCCCTGTCGATACTTCCGCCATAATTATTAAATAAATATTAGGCAATCAAGAAACATCGTGCCCTTCTCGGTGAAATTAGCTATAATGAAGATATTGTACTTTTTTGTTACGTAATATCTTGCACCAGAAATACACAAGTGTATTGAACGAAATAAATAGATCTAATCAAAAGTGTAAGTTAAATTGATGGTAGTCATACTTCATGACTGTGGTTTTATCGATTAGAAGTGCTCAATCAGGGACGACTGTTATTTTCTTATAACGCGTGTTAATCCACGTGTATCTCCTAGAGATGACAGTTTAAAGAAATATATTTAACAAAACTAGTCAACGGAGGAGCCATATAAAATTAGTTCAACGTCTGTACATAATAACAGATCCTGGGAAGAATTTCTTGAGATGGAAATTCTTTCAGGACAAGATGTAGGCAGTGCGTATCCAATCCATAAAGTGACTGACGTCGGTAAATGCCGAGTAGGCATCGGGATCACAATCGTTATCTTTGACGGGGCTAACACTGACGATGCCTCGAAGGTACCAAAGGCCGTCCTTTTCGAAACAAAGTCCACCTCCACTATCTCCTTCGCAGAGAGCCGAACCTAAAAAAATTAAAGAATGAAATACAGCAAACAACTATTGCAACCTTATGAACATATCTAAGGTGTAAACTAACCGTTCAATCGTCCAGCGCAAAACTTATCAACGGTGACAAACCCACGGAAATCAACAGGAACGGTCGATGTGCAAATCCCGTAAGGAACGAAGGGTAAATTAATTTCCCGAAGTTCCTCGCTCAGCACCCCATCTTCTGTCTTGCCCCATCCAACCACCTGCAATCATAAGCAGTAATTCGACATAATGTTCAGCCAGTATTCATTTTAAAGTCCTCAAATATAATACCACTAGTACCCTCCGATACGTGTGTGTTGAATTCGGAATTAAGACTTTTATTAATTTTCAGTTAAGAATTTATCAGCTTTACGATCAGCTGTATCTACGTAAAAACGTAATAATTTTAATTTTCTTTCAAATTTAAAATAGATTCGTTCAATAGTTTCCGAGATCCTAGGTAACAATTGAATAAGTAACTTTTCTTTATACAATAGTACGACATGACATGATGATTTTCTAACTTATAGACGTCAGATTCGCAAAAATCTCTGATTAGGTATTTCTTAATTTTTGGAAAGAACTTAATATAACATCGTTAGCCTTCAGATCCTTACATTCTTATTCGCATTTTAACTCATCATCTACAGTGCTAAGTATCGTCTAAAGTGAGGCTTGAAGAGGACCTAGAGAATTGCCTCTTCCCTAATGAAACACGCCAAGTTAGTACGGCAGTTTCGTCGAGTCTTGCGCGGTCCCGAAATGTCTTCTCCGAAGTAAGTGCAAGTTCAATTGCAAGTACCTTGCCACTCTGTCCAACGTGAAGTTGCTGCCTTTCGGGGCCATTATCCCAGTCGATGCATACTGGACGTATCAGAGCGGTCAGTTGGAGGGGACTCCTCAATTTTATCAAAGCGATATCTTGGGCGAAGTTCCCCTTCGCCCCGATGTACCGGTCCGCGACTTCAATCCTCTCTATTTCCGACTTCTGAGCATACTTCTCGGAAGCATCCCAGTCTCGGAAGTGCTTCCCGGCAGCCACGGCGAAGTTTGAAGGGTCTTGAACTGTATCCGTGGCCTCGTCGTAAAAGCAGTGCGCCGCTGTGCAAATCGGGTTATTTCAATTGACACATTCTACGAAGTTGTACTGACTGTATTCAACAATTGAACCACCTTGTATAAGATCTCTACGAAGTAGTATAAGGAGAACAACGCCATATGTCGAAATCGTCCCTACTTTAGGTGTCCTAGATTTCAGATTTTTACTGATCTAGTGCCGAGAGCACCTCCTCGATAAAATTTTGCAATTAAAAATTATCCTCCGCTAGTCTTTATCGCGTTAAAAACATCATATTCTGTATTTCATCCGCGAATTGTCGTGTTCCTTTGCGTAATTGCAAAATTAAAAGCATTTTAGGTCATTTACATCGGTAAGAAATGTTTGGGTCATGTAGCATTGGAGTTCCCTAATTTTCCCTAAGTAATGCTCGCATCGTTAGATCAGCGAAAATCTGAGATCCTAGGATCATTTTCTGTAGAACCAACCATTGGCGTTATGCCTCCTTGTACTACTTCATGACCTCCACTAAAAGACCAAAGATCGGTGAAGATCTCCCTTCATACAGACCAATAGTGCGCTCGAGTGGATATTTTTGTGAGTTGATATTGATGTAAGAATAGTCACGTTTAATTAGTCTCGTACTCATGCCTCACTTTTAGCGACAAAAGATATCCTTTAGCCATTTAAAGACTACGGATAAAAGACGTCTTTTAACGTTACAAGTGAGGCATGAACATGGACCTAAATTAATAACGATAATTAGTTAACTCACCAGATACCACGAGATCATGGCTGATTAATGACCCCGCGCAAATTTGCTCGTAAAAGTCTCCTTTCCAATGGTAAACACCAACGTGCCAGGGGAATATGCCCAGTTTGGCGTTGAATCCATGAATAACCATGGGGGTACCGCGAGGTATGGAAATTCCACATTCTGCAAAAAAAAAAAAAATGGGGGAGAAAGTCAGCACTCTTGATCCAGGAAAATGTAAATTATTATTAACGAGGCATTATCCTTACCAGGGAGACAGCGGAAAACGTTGCGATCCCAGATTCCTTCGGGAAGGCACTGCACTTCTCGATATCCTGGATCGTCAGACACAGGGAGTTTGTAAGAGTGCTTGCAAGCCAAAGAAGCTCGTGTTCCAGGTGCCACGGTAACATTACAGGACACTGGAGTCCCTTGATGAGTGCACGAGATATCCACGCTCTTACTGTTCAGAGGAGGACACGTTTCTAGAGAAAGAACGTTTCATATTATATATTAAAAGTGTCAGGACTACAATTACTTTAGTACCTCGGTATTAAAAAGTATAAAGTACCATCGGAACTGCTTACTTGGAGAGATGATTCTATACAAGTTAAATTCAAGCGAAATTATATTCGACATCCAAATATATGCAAGATAGAAACGGTGATATGAAAGTGGCGCCTAAGGGCTCTCATTTGTCTCTGACACCCACGAAATTCCATTGTTTATTAGCGTGTACGCATTTTTTAATTTATATAAAATGTGAAATTTCACGTGTGTCAGGATCTGCCTTAGGGCCTCCATAATTACATGGGAAAAAATACATTTCGGTACATCCATTTCGGGGAAAAGTTCCATTAACGGTTAACCCTTTAAATGCCACTTTCATATCACTTTAATACTTCTCAGATATTTACAAAATGTTGTGAAATCAGTTTTAAAAGAGTCTGGCTGTTGGTCTAAACGAACGAATCTCGTTCCTGGGGGAATATCGACAGATTTTCGCCGCTCATGGAAATGGAGCAAACGAAGTTTAAGGCACATCTTTTTAGACGAACGCATCGGAAGCCGCTTACTCAAACACGTCGGCGGCATGTACCAATCATCATTCAGGCAGAAGGAAATCGCATTTCCGCTGAGGGTGTAGCCTTCGTTGCAGGTGTAGGTGAGGATGCTGTTCCTGGGAACCTTGTCACCTGGTGATCTGATGCAAGGTGAGCCACATCCACCTAGCTCGTAGGTCCCACCCCGAGGTACGTCCGGCAGGACACAGCCATCAATTGGTTCCTCCGTTGATCCCACATTCACTTGTTCAGTCGGTGGTCTGAAACATTTGCGACCGGGACAAATATATTTTTGAAACGGCATGCAAAATTAATTTCGTGGTCTCAAACCTAATATTGAACCTTAATCGAATACAGAAATCGGTTACTACTAAAATTTACTTAATTTCCCTGGTTTCTATAGATTTTCTGAATGTCAGATATAATTAGGCAAGATGTATTTCAGAGTAATTATAGAAAATAGGAACTCTCGGAGTTAGATCATTGTCTTGTGAACTTGTCAATTTTGGAAGAGGACATGCTTGGAAGAGAACAAGTGTCTTTTTATTAAAAGATGAACCGAGAGAATATCAAGGTGGAATTTTTTTCATTTGAATTCTTCCAGACGCGAGAAACTGCAGGTTACTCGTCGGGATTATCCTCAATTCACATTTCCGGAAGATTACTCCCGCGCATTAACATTCCCGATAATGTCATAACGCCGATGACAAATATATTGCCAAAGCAGAAAATTACTGTCGCGTGATTAATGGTTACTCACGTGCTTGTTAGGCAGTTAATTTCATCGCTGGAATCGCGACAGTGCGGGACGTTGTCGCACCTCACTGATTGCGGGAAACATTCGCCATTTGCACATTTAAAACTGCCCTCCCTAATTAAACATACATTACATGAACGTTAATGCCATTGACACCCATTTCTTAAAACAGCTGCATCAATTAATTATACAACGCTACAGATGCAAAGATCCTCCACTAGTCCATCCCCTGAGGACGCGATCATTGTATTGCAATTTTCTTAATTAAACCCTTCAACGTAATTATAAAAGTCATTATGGCAATGTTCAATCACCCTCTTTAGATACAAGGGTGCAATGTACGCCGCACTGGTTGACTATATGTAATTAATAATGCAATCTTTCTTTGAGGAACAGGTACGGGGAAATATTTCCTTGAAGAACTTACTGACAGATGTAGATGTTGTTTTGATTAGGTTGATTATAATTTTGGTCGGGTTGATTGTTGTTTTGATTAGGTTGATTGTTGCTTTGATTAGGTTGGTTGAGGCTTTGATTGGGTTGGTTGTAGTTTTGATTAGGTTGATTGTAGTTCTGATTAGGTTGGTTGTAATTTTGATTAGGTTGATGATTATCACCGTCCCGATTAGGCTGTTGTGACCAATTAATTCCTGGTGGAAGGCGAACTTCAAGCGAGACTTGACCTAATGTTGGCAAGTTAATGGTGTGGGTCTCGACCTGAGTAGGTCGACCTGAACCTGGATGAGGTCTTCCTGATCCATGTGACAGGCGCCAGTGGCTACTTTGGGTATTCATCCAATTTCCCGTACCCGGGAGATGTGACCATCTTCCTCCTCCAACTCGACTATTTGTACCGTAATGATGCTTTCCAGCCCCATTGCCCCAATGCCACCAAATATCACTTCTTGGAACTCCCTTTGGAAAGCTTCCTTGAAATTGAGATCTATTCTGAGCTAACCCACCTGCAAATCAAATATTTATATTAATATATATCATTCCTATGATTTTATTCTTCAATCACATTTTTCTTTCGACTTTCTTTTTCGAATGACGAACGAGTTCTTCTTGTATGGTGAATAGAAATAAGAGGAGAAACTTATTGATACTGGAAATTATAATTAGATATACGTATCTATGATTTTAGTAAAAATGGTTTGTAGTAGAATAAGAATATCTCGTTAATGTTCTTCAATTATTTGTATGAATCAAATATTGACCCTGCTGTACGCAGGTGCGTTAATCCGGTGGTCTACAAATTTCTGGGTTATAGATGTGATTACGTTTATCGCAATCTCCTCCTGCTTTGCATACAGGAAAATTTACTTTGACAATGTCTGGCCTTGGATGTTACCAGTAGGGCTATTTAATAAAAGTATAAATTAATGTTTTATAAATTATCTACAACTGAGAGATTTAATTCATGCTTATACAAAACGTTACTGTTTTATCGGATTGAACAAACTTTTTAAATGAAATAAACTACTGTAAAAGGGCATATTCTATAGACTTAGTTAATAATGATTGCCATTTACAAGCAATTTGTTGATATCCCTACTTATACTTCCACTAAAAAATTCATATTATAAAACATTCCTTCAATATTCCCATGCACAGTACACTCTGAAATACTGAAAATAAGTTTCTTTAAAATCTTTGTAAAACATCCCAAATTAATGAATTTGCAGTAGCGCTATGTTTTCCGTTTCACATATTCCATGTTAATTTTTCAAATTAAACAATTCTATCATACTAATAATCACTCTTTCAAAACAAAATTCATACGCCTAGAATCATCCTTGTACGACAATGTAGTGTTAAAACTTGATCAAACGGACTTAATCTTTGTGTTAACCGAGAAATAGTGGCTTTAAAAATAAAATAAAAAATACATACGATGCCATGTAAAAAACAAGCTTTGCTTGGTGCAACATCACCATTATAAATACTGCATTTCCCATACAATTTTTCCCACTTTTCCCCCTCAAAACTTTACAACACGGAACATCTCTCCAGTAAACATTACAAAATATACATAATATTCGTAAGATATTTAAATAAACCATTTAAAATAAGACATCTAGTATATTCGGGTCAACCTGACTCGTAGTTTGATGCACGGACATGTCTAAAACGAATCATTGAAAAAAAGGTATTCTTCATTAGCGTTAACTATTGCCTTGTTAAATAAAACGCGTGGAAAAGTGTAATGACGAAGGACCTCCGAGTTCCCTAGGCTCGATTTACTCACGGATTAGAAATTCCGCGAGGAAGAAAGGAATCGCCCATGCAACGATGCGCCTCCTCATGATACTCTAGCAATATAGGTCCATCGTCAGGTCGCACTTGAAACTACCTACAAACTAACTAACGAGGAACACACTCGACCCCGATGCGAAACGTTCGACAGTTCGTTGGGTTCTTCCATGTCGGCGCCCACGCTATGCTCGTGTCGATGCTTGACATCACCGGCTTGGCAGAAATGGCAGAAACTCCGAAGTATACGCTCGTCGGGGAACAACCGGTGACAACTACGCGAATCTCTCAACTTGCAACACCGAGTTGCCGAACAACTTCCCCAATTGGTGAAGACGAATCGCTGATTTTTCCTAGATCGCTGTTATCCACTGCGATCGATTTCAATTCAGGAAGTAGAGACAATGCAGGTGGAGTCCATTGTGATGGATGTATGAATGCACGAAAAGTCGGTTTCTAGGAACATTTATGTAACGAGAATACTTGGTTTATTTGCAGCATTGGGAAAATTGGAATATTTTTGTAATTTTTCCTAACTACTTTGCAAATTCGTGGAGACGAATCGCTGATTTTTCCTAGATCGGTGTTATCCACTGCGATCGATTCCTGATTTTAATTCAGGAAGTAGAGACAATGCAGGTAGTGTCCATTGTGATGGATGTACGAAAAAGTCGATTTCGAGGAACATTTACATAATGAGAATACTTGGTTGATTTGCAGCATTGGGAAAATTTTGACTTTTTTGTAACAGGCATTTGGTGTTCCATGAACATTGCTCGGGACGTGGCTTAATTGCAGACTGCAGACAATTGCAGTGGGAAAATTGCAGCATTGCGGTATGCGTGTGGGGTATGCATGCAGGCAGAGATAATGCAAGGCAATTATGTAGGGATGCCCGGTGAGCTGGAAACGATTTGTGGAAATGGTGGTGAAGATTGGAATACTTTTGTTTTAAATTTGCCTAAAATATGATTTTGCTGTATTTCTAGTAAAGGGCGGTTAAAGTGATTTTTTAATGGCGAAACGCAATGATAGTTTTATGGACTGGGAGAAAGATGGTGAATTAAAAGCCAATACTCGATAATTTGTTTAGATTGATTATGCCCTCCAGCCAATAAAAACATACTGTTATAATTTATGAATTAACAGGGCCAAATAAAATTCCAACATCTGCATTTTAATTTAAGTTTCACAGCATTCGGTCGTCAATTAATGTTCTGTATCATAGTAATATATACGTAAAGATAATGAGATAAGTAAGTGCAAATTAGAACTATGTAAGGCTTTAAAGGGTAATTGTATCCTTCTCATTTTTGAGGTCATGACTTACTGGATTACTTGCGGCATGAAGTGCAATTATTGAGTAATACGTGTCTGAGAATTTTCTTCGATTAGTTACGTCATAGTGGTAATCGTGTATTGTATTAGGAGTTGATTACGTCCGATTTATAGAAGCTTTTCCCCTGTAGCAGAAATCGCGCTATGATTACATAATTAACACTGTAGCATTCATTTTGAAATTACTTCATACCTCAGAGGTGAATTCTATTTATTTTAAATGTTACATCCAGGTGTAATAACTTCTACATATTGCAAGACTTTAAGAAAGGTACATTTTAATCTCCCATACTTTTAAAATTGCTTGAAGAAACAAATTAGAAAAAAACCCTTCCGGAACTTTCTGTTTTACCTTGTAAGCATGAAATGCTTGCAATTTATGCTATCTGTAAAGTTGTTTTACCGATGACAGCGGAAGCTGTCAGGAAGGAAATATTTACAATCAGGATACAAATAAAAAGAAACCGGTAATTATGGATGCTATGCTGCAGAAACACGGTGCAAAACACATTTTCAGAGTTCCCGAAGGATTACGTGAGCTCTGTACTGACATTTCACGAGAGGTATCTGTATCATTAATAATCAAGCACAATGAAGGTTAGTTACAAAACTGAATTACTTCGGTTTTTCAAAGGTCCTTAGATCACAACCGCAAGACATTTATTGTTTTATCGCCGACTACGTGGACGCCCTTTTAATCACTCGAGAAAATGCGAAAGGTGCATATTTTCTTTTCATAAAATTTTGTTCCTCAAGTAGAACACCCACGTGACACGTTAGAAATACATTTTAATAATTAAACCAATTTTAGTTGCCGTAAGGGTGGTAAACAATATTATAATCGGCAGCGAGTCAATAGTCGGTATTCTTTACAAAACTGGACTATCTTTGCAAGAAATCGCTGTAGCTGCACCGAAAATTCAGGTAAATTATCAAGATCGCAATTATGATAAAAAAAGGTAATTGCCATAAATTAATAATAATAGTACCGTGAAATTGAAAACCTTTTCATATGAAATTTCTACTTTTACTTCTAGAAAGCTTTCCGTTCATATCTAGACGCAATCGATGCACAATCTACTGAGATTTGCGACGGTAATCGAATGAAACTCTTGGATGAAATACTTAGACAACTAATTGACTAACAGAATATTCTATTTTTATTGCGAAATAAATAGGTAGACTGATAGAAGAAGATAGCAGAATCTCAATTAGAAATATTCTGGAGGTGACCGGAACTTCATGGGATGACGCTGACAGAGCTGCAACTATAATTCAGGTACTACATGTACAACTTCATAGATGAATATAAAAATAAATTATAAATTCAATTAAACTTCGAAAGGGAAGAGATCTCCGCCATATACCGTAGACTATAAACGTCTGTTTTACATAAATGTAAAATAACATTCAGCTCCTCTTTTACGATATTTCTCCAGAAAGCTTTCCGCGGCCATTACGAGAGAATGATGCTTCGCGAAGCACAAGGAGAGATCCAGTGGCAACGAGCGGTGATGAACACTCTTCAAATATTGAAAAAAGCTGGAGCTTCCCAGGAAGAAGCCACCGATGCCGCAAAGCTCATTCAAGTGAGCCGGTTCTTTAACGGTAGACTTTGTTTTTTTACAAACAAGCTGTTACAAGGGAGACGATAAAGTCCATCCAATTTTCCCTCCTTGCAGTCGGCGTACCGTGGATATTACACGAGAAGGAATATCAAGATGAAGTTGGGAGGTAGGGCCGAGGATAAATCGGCAAATATTGTTACCCTCTGTACATCTGCTTTCGTCTTTTCAGTGGACAAAGAGGAAGGCGAAGGGAAGGGAAAGCTCCTGGAACCAAGGACCACTATTCAAGCTGTTGCTTGGCTCGATATGATGTATGAAGACTCTGGACTTACTCCGGAAAGAGCACATGAAGCTGCTACTGTAATACAGGTTTGTCTTCCAAGCTGTCAGGAGTTATCTTCTCTTGGAATGGGAGGAAATTTCAGGATGAAAATCTTGAATAACTGAACATCAAATAGTCCCAGGATTTCACTGTACCTTGTAAATCGTGCAAGGAATACTGCTTGCATATCTTGCTTCTCCTTTTATGTTTTTTAACAGTAACAAACTATTTCAGTAGAATCCCGTTCGATCCTTTTTCTAGTAACCTAACTTTCTATATCACTAGAATACGTCCTATGTTATTTGTAACGTGTTTAAAATTTTATACAGAAAGCTTACAGAAGGTATCGCCAGAGAAGATACAGCTTCGCTATAGAAGGGACTTGGTCCAGGAGATCTTTAGTCGCCAAAGCCATTGTCGAAAATATTCGACAAAGAGTCTTTGACAATATCTTGACCCGCCAAGATATTCCTGAAGAGTTCGGGACGAAGGACAATGTTGCCGATGCCGTTGAGAAAATCCATGAAACATACAAGGAACGACTGAGACAAATGGAAATTTCTGCAGAAGGTTCACACGGTTCTTCATCGTTTTGGGTATTCTGATTATTTAATGTATGACGTTTTTATTTTTAGATGAGGAAATGTATGAGTCTGAAGACAGTATCGGGAACGAAGGTAAAGCTGTATGAAATGTATATCAATTTAAGGGTCTACAATGGATTATCATAATTTAGGTCTTCTGTATATCGGTTTGAATGACTTGAAAGAGTGATAATTATATCTTTCAAATTTTTCTTGTGATTAATCTCCTATGCAGATTTAATTCTTCATGGCAAGCGGACATGGATGCCTTCTCTTTGTATATGTCGCTAGTGCACGAAGAGAATGCATTCATTATCGGCACTGTACAAATACAATAATTAGTATGGAAAGTCTATAATTATGCATTTACAATATGTTTGTAGGTACATAAACCTATAGACGACATATTTCTTCAAGTACTTTACCCTCCCCATTTTGTATGCTTAAGAATAATATACATTTATAATTTTATATTTTTAAATTGAAAATTCCAAAAATTGCCACCTTTTTATCGGCATTACGGAGGGGAGAAGAGAGGAGGGATTTAAGTCAACAAATATCAAGTTCTCGAGCCTGTTTGATAAATTCCTTAATTTTTAGCCTAACAAAGAGTTTGAACAGATGGGAAAAAAATCATTGTTCCCGTATTACGAAATTGTTCGAAAATAACAGACATTGTTGCTTATCTAAATTATAACAGCTGCAGGCCTACATACATTTTGATAGCGCTCGTCTTGGCCTACTTAAATTCAAGGTCTCGGATATTATTTTGGATACAATTAATACTTCTCGGTACATTTCCAAATTTTCAGCAGAAGATGCAGACGAGGAAGGCCAACATCCTTATGAACCTCCTGCCGAGGGTTTCAACGCCGATCAGCATCGTCACAGTGATCAGATTAATTTTGTCAAATGACCAAAACGTTCGTATCGTTACAAAATCACATTCCCATAACACCTCCAAAGCTTTAGAAAGTTAACGTGCTCACGTGCATTATATCAATCCTATTTACTTAACATATACATCATCAAATTGAAGAAAATTATATTTTCTGCAGTACATTAACAGAAAAGTACTTCGAGTACCAACATTAGTTGGTTTAAAAGCCTTCAATATCTCCCAGATAAAAAAAAACAAAAAAAGATTAAGATCATAATCAACAAATCGGTTGAGTACATGCAAGGTAAAGTTTCAATATTTGACTAACTCATTTGTCAAGATAGTTTTTCCATTGTTGAAGGTGTTGCTTCAATTCTTAGCGCATGAAGGCAAAAGTGGATTTCGCAAGGTAATACCTGATCGAGAAATTCCTTTAAAATTATGCCACGTAAATTCCGTAAAACCTTGTACGCGCACTTGTTATAATAACACACACGTGCGTACTTATCCGGGAAATGTTTCGGACCCGTTGACTAGGATTGAGAAGGTTCGTCATTGGCGTTGCATGAAGTTCGAAATGACAAAGCCATTTTCCCCCACGTACCGAGCCACGAGCTATACCGATCCGTTTACGCGGCCGACATAAAAGCGCTCGTACGAATCGAAAACCCTGCATGTCGTCGACTCGATACGTACCACATTGCGGGTGAGGACGTAAACGTTTTTTACGATTACGCATTATGTTCGCCTCTATTTTACGTTGCAGACCCGATACGAGCTTTGCAGCTGCTGCGAGCGGAGGCCCGATTGATCGAGAGGAGTACGGAAATATCTTATCATTTATGCGAATTTTATACAGATATGTCTGGAGGCTCGTCAGCAATAATCCAATCTCCCATGGCCCCTAAATTTAAATCCAAAAATTGTACTAAGATCGATAACAAATCTCTAAGCTAATAGGGATCTGTATATGAGAATGGTTCTTTAAGTCTCAACACTTTTATAGCGGCAAATTTTCAAACAGAAGTTATAAGGTTTTGCACATAGTATTAGGTCTAAAATAACGAAGTGTAAGGAAGTATAAATTTATGAATTTTTAAAATTGAATCCTTTTTAAATAGCCATAAAATTCGAAATGCATAAATGCATAGATCTTTAGGCATTACTCTGCCATATTTATGTAGAGAAAATCATTCGTGTACATGATACGTTTACGTACAAATGTTAGGAACTATCAAGAAAATAGGTTGTTAAATTAAATATTGATTCGCAACCACGATATAGTGGTAAAAGTACTTTTTTTTTCTCTATATAAGATGTAACAAATAAATACTTTCCAAAGTTCTAAATAAGCTATACGAAAGAGAGAGACTATCTCAGAACATATATCGCCAAGGTATGCTCGAGTGTGTATGTAATGTATGTTTAGGCGTGTAAGTGAATCCTGATCTGGCCAACCGTGATCGAGTATTATGTTTTAATTTTACGTAATTATTATTTGCATCGCTTTGACAACCGATCCTCTTGTAGCCAATGTCCACCGTGGTAAGATCTGTGTATCCTAAATTGACATTATCTTTTTCCGAGACTTCAACAAATACCGAATGATTAATTGTATCATCGGATCGTTTACTGTTTATCGCACCGTCTAAATTGTTTCCAGAATCGATGTCTTTTCGCTTGTCATTAATTTGGAACCTTTCCATTAAGATGGGTACAGAGTCCTTATGTCTGATTAGAGGAAGTTCTTCAGTGGTCTCTACTGACTCGTTGCTCCATTTTTCTTTGGACAAAGGTTCCCTCAAACCGGGCTCTGGTGAACACCGACGAAGCAAATACTCTTGACAAATCATTCGAGAGTTCCTTTCTACTTTTAACTTTCTTTCTCGAGCTTTGACTAAGGACGGACGTATGCAATTTTCCTTTGGAGAAAGCGACGTCTTCGCTGTTGAATAACGTTGCTTGCTTTTAAAAAATAAAAAAATTGATTTACATCTCAATAGATGAAACGTTTAGTCAACGTGGTTAATCTTTTACTTAAACAAAGAATATAATCAGACTATAAATTCAATTGCTATTATTAAAATGAGTTTGAAAGGGTGAAAAACAAACCTATTCTGTTCGCAGTGGTAAAGATGCTGCTGTTGATGTCCATTATGATTTTCTAAAAGATCTAGCGAATATTTATGATCACATGTGTCTAATATCAGGATATCCGGCGATTGATTTCTTTGTTTTAAAGACACATCCTTTCGCTGTTTCCTTTTGAGATCCCTTTTTGAAAATTGTGGGGATCCATCTAGGTCTAAAGAGTAGCCTGAATGCGCTAATATTAATGAATTAATAATAAACGTATTAGAATTAAAATTCTTCTATTACCACATTTTCTTACCACAGGTACTGCATAAACGTGGGGAAAATCTACAGTTATCATGTGGATGGATTCGGCATAATTGATCTGCAGTTCTCGGCTTAAGTTGCGTATGGAAAAAGCTCCTTCTCCGACCATGATAACAAGAATGATATATCCCACATTTGTTCACATTTACTAAAGATCTAATCGGGGACTTCGATTTGCATCTACAAGTCTCCTTCCTGCGCAATAATTATAAACAAATGGGTCACATTTTCATATCCAAACTACAACTTTTCAACACTAAATTTATCATACAAATTTCAACACAAATAATCGAGAACTTAACGCACGGTATTCATGTTGGGGATTAATAAGCTTATTTTAAATTAATTTCGCCTCATCATACTAAAGTATATTAACTATCGGTTAGTTAACAAGTAATTTGGGGAGTCTCCTGTTTTTTACCTATTCTGACCCAAAAATTTAATTCCAATTCACGTCACTTAATAATATAAGGTCGAAACCTTTTAGCTTTTTCGTGTACTTTCCGAATGCAATACCTATCCTTGTTGCAACTGCTCCTTCCTTCCTTTTTGAAGGGTTTCGCCATACAGAAACGATTGTTCGGAGATTCGCAGGAACGTCCAAGAATATCTTCTCCACGAAAGCTGTTCCTCAGTTTGTCGAGGTCGAGGAGCTCTCTGTTGCATTGTCCTTTGTAGCAATGCCTGCAACAGCTGCACTTTGTTCCCGAAGACCTAGTCGAAGAGTTCTCCTTCGTGGAGTCGTTCTCCTGGGTGTCGTTGCACGTCCACATGGACCAATCTTGCTTGGACTTAGGGTTGCTTCCGTTCTTCGGGGACAAAGTACCTGTCGACGATTGGTACTTCGTCTTATCAGGGATTGACGACGTGTCAAGCTGCACAAAATTTAATAATAAATTTAAAATTCTAATTTGAAATGGTTCTATATCATTTCGATGCACCTTTACGAATTAGGAAGCTAACGACCACATTCGAAACTCTCGACTAATGTAATTACCCCTAGACCTCATGTATCATTTTTCCTACTCCCTAACTCATAACTCATATTAAATATCTAGTACCCCGCTCGTTTCTCTCTGACAAAATTTCCCTGCCAACAGTAAAGGGGAATGTTAATAGGTGAACCTCTTCGTTTTTTAATAACAAAGTGAATGGTCAGGAGCAAATTCAATTTTATTCAAGTTTAGTTAATAAAAATCCTATTTAAAAACCGATGAATGACACAAATTCTAAGTTTAGGAGCGAAGCTTCAGAACCTGCTGGAGTGGGTTTATACCTCATTAATAAGTTCTGGGGTTAATATTAATATATTTGTCAGGGCTGCCGTAGTCTACCTTCGTCTTTAGGATGCCTTCGGTAACCGGTCGAAGACCAAAGTCTTTAGGGAACTTCCGGCGTGCCTTCCTAAATGCAATAGTTGCAGCAACCAGCTGATGAGACGACGATGGGCACGTCTGCGACATTGCCCCAGGTCCAGGAAGCAATTTGTCGACCACTCCCATGGTTTAAAAAGATTTTCAACTAATTATCTTGGTTAGGATTGAACTCGCTCTGAATATCCTCCTTGGTACACGGCCATGGCTAAATCGGGTGATTGATTTTCGTCTCACTGGAAAGGAACGTCGAGTGGAATATCGACGACTTTGAAGGGTTTAGAAGCAACTTCAAGGATTACTAAAAAATCATCGCCCCCATGTAATCATTGCTAAATATCTCAAGCTATAGATAATTTATTAACATATATTAAAAATACATTTCTTACTTTACGCTTATTATCCGACACTTCATTTGGTATCAATAAGCACGACAAATTTTTCCAATACTTTCGTTCCGCTATTTTACTATGGTAGCAAAACATGTGACTTTGATTTTAAATCTTGTTGAAACTTTTATAACCCATTCGGCGGATAATATTTAAAAAACACTTATATTAAAGTGAAACGAAATGTTTCGTATGTCTATAAGGAAAATATTACGAAAGCACGTGGAGTTAATATTACAGAAATGTCATGAAATTAATATTCCAAAGTAAATGGTTCAAATCAAACATTTAAAATGTCTGGCAAATATTTACAAAGTGTACCATATTCGTTAAATATATAGAAGATATATGACAAATATTTTGTGTTAATAGAGAATGTCTCATTTCTTCGGGGATTCCCAATGGGACTTGATATCGAACGCCGGTACTTCGAACCTTGAATTCCGGTTAAATGAAATCACGTATGCCGACAAACCCTCGAAACACTCGGTAAGAATAACGAGCTCTTTGAAAAGCATTGAACGAGGAGGTGTTCCTGAAAATCGGCTCGCAATTAATCGAGCACTTGATTAACCGTACCCGTCGAATGATCGGTTTCACGGGAATTTAACTATGGCTTGGAGCCCTGTCCCGCTCCTTAAACGAGTCTAATTAAGCACCACGAGTTACCGGGCTCGCTTCGAGGTGGGATTGAACGATGTGAAAAGTGATTGCACCAGTACGGGAAAATCCTCCCCAAAGACAAGGACCGTATCTCCCACCATGTCTCGGGTTCTAAACATTATTTTGCTCTGCTCACTGGTTGTTTCACATTTTTTTAACCCCGTGCAACCCCGCGTCTGTGAATTACCCGAATGCGAAGAAGCTGGTAACTTGTAGTTAACGTCGATACGTACAATTAACCCTTTGAACACGGAGCCATTTCGACATATGGGCGAAATTTGTCTGACCGTCCAGGCAATATTGGACCAAACGTCGGCCGCCTTTAGGCGCTCTTAGTAGCCAAAGGGTTAATGATATAACGTCAATGATGCAGTATACCATGACACAAGAAATCAAGACACAAATACCATGAAAATAAGATCCACGAGTATTTCGAAGCATTGTGTCAGATATTTTTAATAACTTTACTCTTGAACGCGTAGACAAGATTTTACGGCGATTACTGATTACGATGTGAAGATTTTGAAATAGTCGAGTTTCTCTTCAATGATTTTTTACTCTCTGAATCTAAAATTTGTTTTAGCAGCATATGCATCGTTAGCCATCCGGGTCCGTATATTATTGTAACATTTAACTAAATTTTAATTATAATATTAGCATGGTCTCTACTGACCTCTCTCGACGTTGAGCAAGACCCTTGCCAGGACTTCTTTGAGTTTGCATGTGCCAAGCAGCTTAACAGTTTGAAACAACAACAAAAAGTCGAAGGCTTTATGCCCACCACAACCTTCACAAAACGTCTTCATGATCTGAGGAAAACGATTAAAAAAGAATTGGCTCAACCTTATAATCCAACGGAAAATCGTGCCATTGGTTTAGCAAAGACATTCTGGCAAAGCTGCCTTAAAAGTAAGTATCCTTATATTTTTAATCAAATGCGATAGAACTATTAATAATACTTGCAGTTGATTTATAAACTGCACCACATTCTGTCGAAAAGATCGTTCCAATATTATTATGCAGAAACACCAGCTACCAACACTGCGCGAATGGGAGAATATTAACAGATACTCAAATCAATATTTGCTTTTTATTCTTCAAAATATGAATGTTTCATTATTGTTCAGCCCATCCAGAAGAAGCTTTAGAAGCGGTCCGAATAGTGCTTCGACGACTGGGAGGATGGCCAGTAATCGAAGATAATTGGCAAGAGGAACACTTTACATGGGAAAAGTTCAGCAAGTGTGCTCGTTTAATTGGATTTCTACCGAGGATGTTCATACATGTCGGCATCAATTACGACCACATCGATAAACCATGGAGTCCCAACGACACCATTGCCTTAACGGTGAGATCGTTCTCACCTAAATGAAAAATTAGATTCTCCTAGTTACAAAAAATCCTGTCGCGAGTATTAAGTCGGGTATTAATATCGTTGATATAAATTACTTCCAAGGTGGACAGGGCAAAGTGGATGTTCAGAAAAAATGACATCATGAAGAGAGAAGATCAAGTTGATGATTACGTGCAAATAGCTGAGAAAATATCAGAATCCCCGCAAAACGAGAGACGACCTCCGATTAGTTTCGATGACATTATACAGGCTGTAAACTTCGGCAAGCAGTTATATATGGTGAATCTGATCCTAAATGACACAAGTATTACTTATTGAACATAAACCAAATGTAAAGAGTAATGTCAAGATGAGAAATTCTTTTCACTAAATATCGCGTACCAGTGGATGCGTGTTTAAAGAAATTTAAATTATAGTTGACGCACGGAATGGAACCACCGGTACTTGAATATAAAGAGATGACGATAGCGCAATTGCAGAAGGATTATCCTATCGTAGATTGGATGGACTATATAAGGTCCATGTTAACGAAAGATCAAGCGAATTATTTGTCAGACAGGAACTGCGTTATAGCAGAAATTTGTTTCCTCTCGCAGATTGACGGTCTCCTTAAGAAGACAAGCAAAAGGTATTTCTATTTTAACATGGCACGATTAATATATATGTGAACCACCTTATAAATCTTAAAGTCATTCAATAAGATTATTAATGTCAACTAATGTCGGACACTTTTCAGGGTACTGGCCAACTATGCAATGTTATCAATTATCGATGACCTCTTTTCGAAAACTAGACCTCTAATGCCGCTGGCACTTTCTAAAACTCGATCCCAAGTCCATAATATTTGCTTCGCAACTATTACGTCCGTGTGAGTTTTTATTAACTCAGTACATAGAATTAAAATTAATGAAATTCAATTAAATATAGCCTACGTAATTTGATAACGATTTAACGAAATCAGTCGCACTCTATTATCAAAATGAAGAGATTCTCAAATAAGTCCATGGCCCTCAGCTGATCTACACATCTACAGCTTCATACAGTTTTTTAATATCATCATAATTGTAAAACAGATAATCTATTAATTATTAATTAGGTCTTTTCATTATGGTATTTCGGGTTTATTTTCAGCTTTGGAAAAGCCCTAGACATGATGGTGGCCAGGCTATCAGGATATGAAATAAAGAGGAAGGTGACTGACGTCCAAAATGATATAGCCCAACAGGCTCATCAGTTATTTCAGACAGTTCCATGGATGGATCATCCAACCCAGTAAGATGATTATTTGAGTTTTTTTAAACAATCCATCTATGATTACTCAAAAACATTCGCTCAGATTGCAGGCCAAGAAAAAGTCGGACAGAACGACTTTTGTGAACGTATATGAGGAAGGCATATTCGACGACAACTACTATGACCGTGTATGTATTAGAAAGAAAAAGAAAGTTAAAGGCAAGGCAGGATAAAACGAAAGCTTTACTAAATGTGTACTTATGCAAATTGCAGCTTCAGTTTAGCAAACCAGAGGCCATACTTGTGCTCTTTCGTGAGCTGAATCATTTCTTAGTGGATCGCTACTATCTTCAATTGGGTCGTCCACGGAATCAATACCTTTTCCGTAAAAATGAGAGTTCCGAAGTTTCAGCGATTTTTAAGAAACCTTTCGCTGCAAGGGAAGTCCTGGTAACACCGGACAGGGTCAGAAACGAAGTCTGTAAGTCGTAAATCAACCCACCGCCATTTCCTTTGAAAATCCGCCAAACGTGTAATAAAAGTAGAAAGTCTTAAACGAGAAACTCTGAAACCCAGGAAGTAGCCGTTTAATATTCTCCAGCGTAATCGCTTCGTACGCTTCAATGATAAGATTATAATTATTCTTCATCTCGACGGATATAATCTTAATTATGCTTCTTTAGATATCCCTGCGGGAGCTGTAGGCAAATACAAATTGAGTCTAAAATCGGAATTGGATTTCTTAAATTTTGCCGCGGTCGGTTTGCAAATTGGAGCAGCAATGGGCCACCATTTGTATGGGCAAGGTGCCTTCATCGATTGGAACAACAATTGGCGAATTAATTCTTGGTGGACACCCGAAACACAAAAACAATACTCATTGCGTACAGCCTGCAGTTCAGTTGGTCCACTTGAAGTACGTGTGCATATTTAATCCTTTTTATCACCATAAAACATTTTACTCTAATGTTCCTACAATTCATTTAATGCGCGTTGAAATATTGTATTCTATAACTATCATTCTTTTGTGCAGCCTACTGACATATTGGCACCAAGTTTTGCATATCTCGGCGGTGCAGAAATCGCTTACAAAGCCATGTTCGACGCTAACCCACCAAAAGCTTGCAATACGACTCTTCCAGGTAAACTAAAAGTGCTATTATTAAATTTTTTTATCGAAAAAACTTTCTCAGTAGTGATAAGTTGCACTCTCCGGTATATGCCTATTGATGTGCAGGATTAAACTATTCGACGAGACAACTATTCTGGATAGCATCCGTGGCAACGGATTGCGACAGTCACTTGAAAGACCGATATAACAATATGGTAATGCACAATTGCCACTTTGCAGAAGACTTTAAATGTGCAGAAGGAACTCCAATGAATCCCATTCCTAAATGCACAATGTGGGTGTGAAATATTCGGATATTTGCATTGAATTCCTTTCCTAAAAGTTTGAAAAAGAATGATGGATTCAATGAAGGCCCCAACTAACAATCAAAAGCATAACAAATGTAAAACATCACCTGAGTGGTAATAAGAAATATTCGTAAGTCATAGAAAATAATAGAACTCTCGTTGAAAGATTTCCATTCGCGTGACAAACTGAACAAGACGTATGAAGAAATAAATAATGTTTTATTATCGTTGAGTTTATTATACAAAATACACATAGCGATCGTACCTCCCTATCGCACCTAAAATGTGGAAAACAAGACGTATGATTTCATTACTTCAGCCGAAGTCAAGCCGAAATGTCGTACTGCACTAAACAGATATTGTATTCAACCCCTAATTACATTATTAAGATTGTAAATGATATTCAATTTTCTTGACACTCAGATCGCATTTCATGTAATCGATGTATCGACGAATCCGGCAAATGTAAATTTATTGTAGAAACAAATTCTCTAATCAAGGAAATACATCAATCGTGCAATGCTCAATTCGTATCACTTTTTTAACGACGACAATCTTAAGATGTAAGCCACTTTATAAAGATTTGTCGCATGCAGATATGCGAAGTTCGACGATTAACGTCCCTGAAACTAAAGCATTAAACGAATAGTTATTCAACTACTATATACATCCGTTAGTCTTTTCGTTTCGAACTGAAACCAAGCATGTTTTCTATTTCGTAGGGAGTTCAACACTTCACTTTTTATAACTATATACACGTATAAAGTGAGCTTCAATAGTAATCGTTAATTGCCATTAAATTGTATACATGTTTATTCGTGAAGATAAATTAAGGTATTTATATACTTGTTAAAAGGATTCGTCATTAGGGACGCAAGTATCGAAAAAGATACCTTTCCTCACACCCCCTCTTCGTTGTCTTCTAGATGTTATCATGTTCAAGGTGTATACATAATGGCTGTTGAACAATATATGCCTGTAATTCGATCCACATTTTCTTATAACTTGAAAATCGCCTTTCAACATTATTTCGCGAATAAGTAGTGGACTGTTGAACAAAAATATTCCATTAATTGGTTACTTCTGCGACTCAATCATCACTACCATAATTATGTAAACGCAAGATCTATTATTGCTCGAGTTCTTCCAGCCTGATTCCCGGTCGAAACGAAAAACCTGACCATCCCTAATAAAAGAAGTATGGACAAAACGACGCGGAAAAAGTATCACAATCTCCGATAAAATTGACGGAATTGGAATTTAACGATCACACCCTGTGACCAAAGGGTCATCTCTCGACCTGTGTATATACGATCGCCAACTATCAATCACTCGGACGAGCTAACGAACAACTATCACTCGAAAGAAAGCGATTTCACACGGAAGAGTTCGTTCGAGCAGTTAACTATCTATATTCCAACCTGCCACTTTAAGTAAATGGTTCAACCCTTAATTCAATGGGACAATTTACAGTGTTCAGCGACCTCGCTCCGGGTATCGATGATACCCTCAGGTAATCAAGTGAGACGTGCAACCGAGAAGTCACCTCAATTCATCCACGGGGGGCAAGAGGCCGGTGGTTGGTAAGCCTGAGAGATAGGAACTTGATAGTGTTGCAGGTTTTGCGATGGATGCTGTGGACGCTGTTGATGATGCGGTGGTGGAGGTGGCGGTGGATTGCAAATGGACTGCATCAGGGGGAGCGAATTGTAGGGCGGGGGTTTCATGGTGTACAAGGGCATCTGGTTGTATTCGACATTCATTTGGTGTTCCAACATCGTGCCTTGAATATTCCCAGAAGCTCGATTATCTTCCGCCTGACCTGTAAAGATTACGGCTTAAATATATGGCGACAAGAGAGACACTGCAATAGCCGAACAATTTCAGCTTTCATGAATGATTGCGCATTAAGGTGACGAGAAAGTGGCGTCGAAGAGCTTTTGTTTATGAAACTTTACTTCGAATTGGGTTCACCGAATCGTTTTAAACTCTGCTACTCGAATGCGGAGATTATAAGGAAGGTCCTGAAACTCATGAAATTTCAATTCTTCAAAAATTTGTTTATGGGTATTTTTAAAATTCTCCAAAAGAAATGAAGTTTCATGAGTGTCAGTGACTTCTTTATGGACTCCATATTCATATTATAAAGCTTGAAACGATTCGGTACACCCTGTTCAGCGAAAAGTTTCATGAACGATCGATCCCTAGGATGCCACTTTCACATCCTCTTAACTGAAAAGCTCAATATTTGTATGAAACGTTCCTGCTTTTCCCAAGTTATGTCAGTTATAAAATAAATACCTAACATTTAGGACGAGAAGGATCGTTTAAAATCAATTTCAACGAAGCTATCTGAATTTTCTTTGACAAAATATCCATGGCTTGAGTAAATCAGCATTTCTATTGCACTTTTTCTAATTTATTGGGGAATTGAGAAAGTATTTAAAAATGCAATTACCTCTCATTGGTCTAATTTGTGGCGGTGGAACATTCATGGGTGGCGGTGCTAAATACGAATGCTGATGTTCACCATCCCTAGGAGCTGGAGGTGGTCTACCCCAAGGAGTCCTGACATGATGGGTGTGCCAAGGCGCCGGAGGCGGAGGACCTGGAGGAATACCTCCGGGATCTCCACCTGAATTTTGCTCGTTGCCTGAAAAGTATAAAAAACCTATCAAACATATGTCGAATCTAAACGTCAGAATCATGAGCATAAAAACAACACCCTTAAGCATTAAAACATAAAAATGTAAACTTCCTTTACATTTTTAAAGACATAAATATGAAATGGTTATCAGAACTCATTATATATCAACGGTGACAGGAATAATTAATCTAATCCCGACTAGAATTACATACAAAATGTTAATGTTCTCAGTACTTACCTAGATTTCGTTCGGCTGATTTCTGTTCAGCATTGCGCTTCTCACCTGCACGATAAAAACCAACACCGCTATAATTAAATGGATCAAGAAACAACAAATAATATAGCTGTGGCACAATAAAACGAAAGATATTCGCTGAAAAAGGGACAACATTGTCGACATTATATGAAACATTGGAGTGATTACACGAAAGTAGGCTGCACAGCTTCTGGACGGTAGGTTTGCTATCGATTGATTTCGTCAAACTTATGTCGGACATGCATAATCTGAAAATATGAAAAATAATAATAAACGAGGTTTTCCAAAGGAACAAATCCCGCGCTGCGTAGTCCAAAGGAATCTTCCAATGGACCCATTCTTTTTTTTGTTTTTCACTTTGGCATTGAATTAATTGTTCCCTGTCGATGACTGAAATCTATTTACAAATAATCTCAAATTCTGGACGATCCTAGAAAATAGATATTCGACGTTACTTTCATAACATCGTTTGATTAATTTTACTGGCCCACTAACCTCGATATCTCTTCTACGTTGGGTCGGGGAAACAAATACGAGGACAAAGAGAAATTTCGCTAAAATATAAAAAAGCATAAGTACGTATATCTAGTAATAGAGATTACTTGACATCAGCCTCCGCTCTTTCTCTGATGCTAACAAACTGGGAATTTGAACCTCGAACTACGTCTACATTGAAAAAAGTGAATTCCTGCAAGTAGTTAAAACAAATGTACGTAGATATAACGTTTAACAGCGAAAGTAATATCCGTACTCGGAGACTGCCTCTTGAAACTGGATCGGGTAATTGTTGCAGTCAGTAAAAACATACATGGCATATAAATAAATCCCAAATACGCAGTCATAACTGCAGACACAATTTTCTTTGTCAAGTTCATTAACTACATGATGTACACTACAGTCTAAGAGTATCGGGAAACAATGCTAGGTGCCAACTCAGGGAATAGAATCTTTTGTCATAACTGCAGATGCTTCCAAAAATGTGAAAAATGTCGAATCTCGCGATTTATACATCTAAAAGAAACGTGAGCAATACATAGCGTTCTCAGGACGATGGAAATAATTGCAATAAAATATACGAAACCATTTCAGTCTATGATATCGACGCCACTCGTTGTTAATATAGAAACCCTGCAGTGCATTCCACCATAAAGTAAGTCATCTTTCTCAATCAATAGGTAATCAATATCAGTAATTTCCCTAATTACCTAGAAATCGGACTACCGTGGAAAGTCGATTGAAGGTACAAAAAATGCTCAGGTTGACCTATTGTTCACAACAACGTTGTCAATAATTCATTAACAATTCTGGAAGGTACAAGAAGTACCAAGAAAGTATCCGTTAAAGTGATGCGAAAGTGGCGTCAAAGGGGTTTCATTTATGAAACTTTCGTCCGAACAGAGCCCAACGAATCGTTTCAAACTTAACAATATAAACTATCGATTGTCTAGACGTTTGTCTATAGAAATGTTAAAGATTGTTTATAAAAAAGGAAATTTCATGGGCATCAGGACCTTCCTTATAGCCTCCAAATTCACTCTATAAAGTTTGAAACGATTCGGTACACCCAGTTCGGCGGAAAGTTTCACGAGCGATTCACCCTTCGGATGCCACATTCACATCCCCTTAAACTACTCTGCGAATCAATCTTGATACTTTAAGGCGAATCTCTTATATGGTTAGCCCCGACTTAACATAAAAATCACAATCGTTATTTCCAATCGCAATCGTCGCGGAGGGAAAATGTGAATTTCACGTCGCATCCTTTTTTCCTTTCCGACTTTAACAGGGGAACCCTTTAATGCGAGACAGGACTTCAAGATTCTGAGATACGAAGTAAAGACGATCCGAGGTACCCGGCACTCTTCCCTCAAAATACTCTTAGCTACAGACCTGCGTGTGGAGGTGGCATAAGCAGCTTCTTTCGATCGCCACGAGTTGGACCACCCGCACCTCCTGAGGACAGACCTCGCAGGACCTGCTGATGCCGGTCACCGTCTCTGCTTTAACAATTCAGTAGAGTCCATTAATTAAACGGTGACAACCAGGGGCGGTACTAAATCGCAAGTAGTATGTCAAAAAGCAACGCGATCGACCCATGGACACTTCTGAAATGAAAGTCAATCAGGATGCGCCGGACTGTAATCGATGACATGTATCGTCCTAACGTTGCTTCGGATTGTCTACCTTGACGAAGAGGAAACATCTAACACCTTAACCGATTGAGTGCCGTGGACGCAGATGTGCGTCCTGGGAACGACACCGCCGTAGACCGTGGACGCATGCACGCGGGTGAGGAACGATATCACCGTGAATTATGGATTAACGTCCTGCGAAAAGAGACGGACGAAGATATTCCGTCCCCAGGGATTCTCCGGTTGCGTGTCGTCCATGTCGATCGCTTATCCCTCTAGCGCTCCGCACTCAAAAGGTTAACCCTTTATGGCCCGAATTCTTATTAAACAAATGGCAAGATGATATCCTATCTATGCATAGTATACTAAGAGAAAATTGTTCCTCATTCGGGGAAATTATTTCCTTGAACGAAGTTAAAGGAATGATGGCACAAAATCAAAGAAATATAGTCTTTGCCTCGATAATACTGAATGCTTAACTACGATGCATCGCATTAACTTCATACTTCATATCTTAAAATAGAACTTGAAATCGGAACTATAGGCTTCATTTCTTTAACTCCCCTCGAAGAAATCATTTCCTTGACGGAGAAATAATTTTCTTTTTTATTTAGACATTTTCTCCTCGGTTCAAGGAAATTAAATATGTCGGCATACCTAAGAAACCATTTCTTTCGATAGATTGAGCGGAATATTCATCGTTATTTGTTGCAATTAAACAGGTTTGAAAGAAACTTGCAGAATATTATCATTTGTTTCAATGAAGAATAAATATTCCTTTGGGGTAATTACATGTTCTTTCTACCAAAACGCTGTTATTTGACCCACGTGAGCATGTTTTAAGAAATCATTTTCTTTGAATCAAAGAAATTTTTTCCTTGGTGTGTCAATGTTTTGCTCAGAAACGTTTGACGAATGTTCTTTAAATGTCATAATGTATGGGATGTGACTTTATACGATAGATCGTGGTATATAAAAACCCGATAGAAAGAGAGAGCTTACCACTTTCTATCGTGTTTTCCTTCTACGACTTATCGTTTTAGTTCAACACGTTTTGTTTCCACTCTTTGGAAAGTACACATACGCGAGAGGTATTGTCCCCATTACCTCGTTCTAAAATTAACATGCTAATGAACAAAATATTAAAAATTACTTATTTATACTTTCAGGGAAAGGCTTTGCGCGAAATCTATCATCTCGGACCTACAAGCCAATCGGGACATAAAGGGTCAGTAGCCGAATACAATTATGCAAATTATCTACACGTGACTTTGGAATTACGTTTTTACTTACATGGGAATCGTTATTCAAGTATCTTTTAAGTATCGGAAGCTTTCCTATGGAAATAAATTAGAAGTGAAGTAAAGTATAATTAGGTAGTCATCATTATCATCCCAATGTCACGGAGTACAACGAAAAGAAGTACAATAATTTGTAGCTTCGGTACTATGTCCCATCTTGCATGTTGTATGAGTAATAACTCAATGAATTAGTTCTTTAGTTGTTTCTGGCTGTTATTCTTAAAAGCCTTTGAATCGACTCACATTGCGGAGTTAAGTATTTTTAAGCGACAAAAGCTGTGTAGCCTTATGTTATATAAGAAAAAAAAAAACTTAGTGTTAACTGCTTTGCAAGCACGTAGTTCAGTATAATCCACACGAAGGTTTAACGATAGAATACATTTTCAATATGTTTTATCTATAAATAATGGGATTACTTAGAAACGGTTTGGGCATGTTTTTTACAAATTAAAAACTATTCGGAAATCAAATTACGTTGGAGTATATTGAATCGTACTTGCATTTATACCTACACTTAAGTATTGTACACCGTCATATCATCTTCCGGCAAAATCTATATCAATCGGCTTCATTTTCGCAAAGCAAATTCGACATAGCGCTGCGACAGCTCCGACTGTTTGAATGTAAAGCCAATTAATGAACTAAAAAGTAGCGGGGAATAAAGAGCAAACATCATTGGGATGTCTCGAAGCGCAATGCCAAACGCATTAACAGCCGCTAAGTTGTAAACACTGGATTACACCGGCAACTGTAAAAAATCGCAACTTCTCGGTTTTCATTTCTCGAAATCAATCTTGGCGATTTCGATCTAATCAGAAGATCAATGCTATACTAAACGCAAAGAGACTAACTACAACGTATTTCAGTATTCTCCTTGATACCCTGACAAATATATAAACACTCCCTATATATTTTTCAACATACATTTCCTTACTCTTGTATCAATAGTTCGTATCATTTCCAAATTATCCACAAACCCGTTACAGTCATTTGCGTGCAAAGAATACGTAAACTGCTAAAAATAGTTTCAGGTGCGCTCTTTGCATCTAGCTTGGCACATCGCTTCTATGTCGTTAAATCCCGAATTGATTAGGACATCCCTTTTGTTAAAGCTATCAAACTGAGGAATAGATTTTTATAAAGTCAAGAGCTCACTTAACTCCAGCTCGCTAAAGGGACAATTCTGCAAAAAAAAAGTCGCATTTTCAGTCAACGTTCGTTTTAAGACAATACTAGGACTCCACGGATTTCGGCAGCTTTTGTAATATTCGCTCGTTTGTCTTGATACTCGACACGCTTGTCTTGACAACTGGATTTTCGGACCGATTGGAGGAAATTTTTCTGTAAAAAATTATAAACGCTTCATCATTCCTTACTGAGTCTAGAGAAACTCCCCTAGGAACCTTGTGAACGATAAATACAAACAGTAAGTTACTAAAGAGTGTCATTTTTACATAGACTCAAAGCAATAAAAGGCTAATGGAGTTTGTCTAGGTCTCGCTTATCAACACTACAACTCTATGCTCTTGATATTCTTTGCTCGCGCACTTAGGATACGCATCTCTCTTCTGTAAAAATAATGTCTGCGTCAAGCGTTGGCTTTGTCTTTCTTAAACACGGTACACTTTGCAATTTCACGCACACTCGTTACTTAAAATGTGCGTCACGTTACGTTATCAGCGCTACCTAGATTACCTATATAACAAGTTTCTCGGAAAAAGTAGCTTTGATAAGTATACCTTCCTTGATTCCTGAATGTGATTAATAATCACGGATTTTGAACTGTTGTAAGTAATTTCTAATGTACATACCCGGTTCCGTGACGTTGGGCGGGCTGCGGACCACACTGATACGGTGGTGCTTCCTGTAGAACAAATCAAATATTTATAAGGGAGCTTATTTTAACAAGTAGTACACACAGAAGCGTAACATACACTAAAAACTCAAGTTAACGGGGAAGTATTTTAATATTTCTTTGATATTGACCTGTGGTGCATCCAAGTCCGAAAATCTGCGCTTAACACCATGACCCCTCTGTTGTTCAGGTGCATCCTGTTGATGCGGTGGAAGTGGAGGTTGAACCCCATAATGAACCTGCGCCTGCATTTGGCCATTCTGATATTGTATTTGCTGAGTATGATACTGGATTTGAGCTTGCATCTGCGGAGGTGGAGGTGCAGTGTGCAGGGGAACACCAGACGGTGGCATCTGCACCTGTGACAGGAACATTTGTATAATACGCTATACATATCTTCGAAAGTTTTCAATCCGTTCACATTGAATCGGGTCAATCTAATTGCAGTAAACGGTACCTGAATCTGTCCTTGAGATTGTTGCAATTGTTGCGACTGTGGAGCGTGGTAAAGCCACGGAGCCGCTTGCGGAGGTGGCACTTGCGTCGGAGGAGGAACACTTGTCAAGATATTCATAGAATTTGGCATTTGACCAACCACAGGCGGAGGTACCATCTGTGGAGGAGGTACAGGTTGTGGAGGCGGACCATGATCCGCTGGCATTTCCTGGTGATGCATTTCACCAGCTTGAGGTGAAGGAGGTGGATGAGGATGATGCGGAGACTGAGAATTGGGTACCAAAAACGTTGGCGCAGACGGAGGTGGCACTTGAAGGTGAAACTGGGGTGGAGGCTGCCCTTCGAACTGAGGGGGCATAACATGCTGCGCTACAGTAGGAGAAGCATCCTGATTTGATAGCTGTTGCGACACCATGTGCTCTCCAGGCTGCAGCACGAATTGTGTCTGAGCTTGCGATCCAGGTCCTTGTACTTGTTGGTACTGTATCTGGTACGTTTGCGGTAGCGGGGGAGGTGGTTGGTTTGGAGGGAAGTTAGGGGGTGGGAAATGTAAATGGAGCAATGGAGGAGGTGGTTGTTGCGTTATGTTGATCGGAGCTGACGGTGGAGGCTGCTGTAGATTAACGTTAACTGTCTCGATAACTCCATGGGAAGGTGTAGGTGGCCTTTGTATATTAGGTTGCGTGTATACGTATGACACTGCTCCACTGACTGGTACGCTGCTACTCGATATGAAATTTTGTGAAGTGGGACTCTGCGGCGGTGGCTGACTCATTACGTACATCTGAGCTACAGGTTGAGGAGACGACTGTGACGGCGGGACTTGGATTCCCTGAATTTGCACCGGCTGGCCCGAATGAATTTGATATTGAACCTGGCTCACTGCTGGAGGTGGACCTATCAGTTGTACCTGACCGACCGGAGGTGGAGTCATAAATGTTTGCATCTCCTGAAAGATTAATTTTTGTACTAGTAATGTTACTAATCAAATATTGCAAAAGGTCAATGCGAAAAAATACCTGGCCCTGTCCTGCTGGTACTAAAGGCCCTGAATGTGCTGGGATATGAACTCCTGGAGGAGGAACCGTCACTCCTGGTCCAGGTGGACTAGCTACAGTTGCTGTTAAAATTGTAGCTGGCAATGTAACTACGCTACTTTGTGGATGCTGTATAATATCTGAAATGAAAATAAGTATATATTATACAATTTATTAATATTTTGACTGAAGTATAACTAGACAATTTATTATACCTTGATGTTGAATAGTAACCACATTAGGTTGTCCTAAAGCACCGATATTCATTGTTTGAAATTGTGCTGCAAATATAACAAAAATAATAAATACCATAGTTCATCACTTGTGACAATACATTAGACAGGAATAAAAGATAAACCTTGCTGTATTTGTTGCATTTGTGGTTGTTCCATAACTTGTTGTGACTGCACAGGTGGTGGTTGTTGCTGTATATAAGACTGAAGCTCTGATTGCATTGTCTGTATTAAATTAATTGCTAACTGTTTGGCATTTTGTAAAGCTTCCGGTTTAGGATGTCTGTAAATTAATAAAGAAAAATGTATTACATATTTAAGATCATGCTTTTAAACAGTTTCTTGATAACGTACTCAATGTATAAATGTAATGGTTCTGGAGATTCGGTTCCTGTGACTGCATCGATAAATTGAGATCCACGTCCCCTCAATGTTACAGTTGCACCAGTTTCTCCTCTAATATATAATAAATTTGCACCACCAGTGCCAACAATGCGACCTCTTAAATCAAACCCTTGCGGTGCATTTTCTATGCCAATACAGATCTTCTCCTGATTTTAAATTAAAATCACGTTGAATATTATAGAACAGACCGCTTAAATTCTGATACTCGATACAAAAAAGAAGTAGCTTACAACAGTTGGAACACCGGAATGTAAACTCATGAGAGGTGGAGGTGCATTAGTAAATCTGCTTGGTCTATTCAAAGAACTCTGATGTTCAGTCTTTATGATTTCATTAATTTTCTCCACAGCCACTAAAAATTGAAAAGTAATATTTAAAAAGATATTAATATATTAGGGAGGAATTGGAAATTACTTCAAATCCATGAAAACGTACAATCAATATTATGTTTTGTGTGTCCTTGCACATAAAGGTACAACGGACGCTCATTTGGACAACGTAACTTTTCTTGTTCTGTCATAAAACGACCACGTGTAGAAACTGTTGCTCCTAAGTGCATAAATAAATAATCATTGTTTTTTTGGTCACTGTCAAGAACAATTACATAGCACATACAATGCACACATTATTGCTAAATAGCTTATCTACACAATTACATTATCAAAAGTACTATAAAAACTAATCAATCCATAAAATTATTAATTCCTACCTGAAAAGTTATTAATTTCATCTTGGATGTAACCTTTCGTAAGCAATGTCCTAGCACTTGGTGGCGTTTCATTAATTTCAAACTCCGTTGTGTATGTCTCTGCGCCTTTGAATCCACCATTAGATGATGGAGGCATCTAACATTCAAGCAAACAATTTTTATTCATATGAAAGAAAATGTAAATCATTTCTCGAGTTATATCGGTATTTACCTTATTGTTTGGCTCTGAGCCACGTAACTTTCCTTTAGCCATGATCGTTAATCGTATTCTCCCTTTATTAAATGTACCGTCTTTCATAGCCAGCTACTTAACTTTTGTATTTGTCTGAAGAAAACATGCCAATGATAATTTTATCTTTCACATGGTTTACATAAGTACTCGTAACTATTTGTAATTAATGACATTCAAAAGAATTATTCAATTAATCTTTATTAGTACATCTTTCAACATCCTAATGCACTCAAACGATAACAACTAAAATAACAAGAGTCTACAAAAAATGTACTACAGCTCTCTAGTTTACCAATTATATTTGAAAATCAAAGAAATGAACCAAAGTAACTAAAGTACACCGTACACAGGTATCATGAACATTACAATTACATTAAATCACAAATTCAATTACATTCGGAAATTTAATTAGAATCGGAATTTAGATAAAATTCAGAATTAACTACGTGCTAGAAATGTCATTGAGCATACTGACAGACTCATAATTGAAAAGTTTGACAGCGATAAAATCAATAAATGTAAAATAAAAAGTCCTCCCGTTTCTATAATTAATTAACTTACAAGCTTCTTAAATATGTCCGCATATTTATCTTTTGCCATCACTCAGAAAAGGAAGTGTGTGGCAGACATGAACTGGTCACAAGTGAGGTTAACTCCGCCACTGCGATTTTTTTTTACACAACATTAACAATGTAATAACACAAAAGGATAAACACCCACGCAGTTCACTAATCTATCTATTTTTCTCTATTTTAGATCTCATCATTCACACATTACCTAAGAATAATGGGACAATTATTACAGTTGGACGATGAAATATATGTTACAACTAGCATTTTATCCATAAATTTAGATGTGTTCAGATCAGTGTCATCTTGAATTCAGATAACAGTTTGTTAGAAAGCCAAACATTGAGTAAAATTTGAAGGTCCAGATTCTCACGACAGTGGCTCCTCCGTCGAGTGAACCGGGTAATAATTTGAGTTTCGCTTAAGGAGCAAATAATTGAATAGAAAAGCGACTAAAAAGCGCACATCTCCATCTATATTCCATACTGGGCATTCACGGAAGACATAATAAATATTAATAAACAAACATATTGAATGTGAAATGCTAAGTATACTGAACTTTTTTTGTGCAGTCGTGCAAGGTGCACTTTGCAATGCAGTAGCGCCACTTTGAGTGCACCCAGAGATGAGTTGGGAGATTGCTCACGGGCAGAGTCGCGCGATCGCACCGTGTGCTGCCTTCTGATTTCCTACGTTAGCTTTCACCGTTTTTTACCCCCAAGGGCGGCGCAACGAATTTCTGGTAGGGGCTCGCGCAATCGCGATGGCTGTGCCATTTACCAGTTGCCGTTGGCGGCTCACGTATTCGTGATGGTAATACCATGCGGCAGTTGCGGTGGTGGCTTACCATTATGGCAATCTCCTAA